GCAAAGTACATTTCCATCTTTGCATGGGACTAACCCTGTTTTTCCAGTGGTCTCAGAGTCGTGGTTGTGGGAAGGCTGAGCCGTGGAAAAGGGCTTCCCCCTGTGTGTGAAATCACAAATCACTGTGACAGCAAACCCGAGGAACTCCCTTTTCTGTGGTCTGCACTGATGCATGACATCGCCATGTTGGCTTCGGGGTACACAGAGACCCTTCTCTTTTCTAAAGACAGAGTGGGATTTGGTTGTTAATATTTCCATTACCCACAGGACGAATAAGAGAGCTTCATGAAACAGAATCTGCATTGTTCCCTCAGTCATAAGAGTCAGGCTCAAAATGTCTGCGGTAGCAGGCGGCTGGACCAGTCCTCTGTGCATTGTTTGAGCCTCATTTAGGAGAGTGTGGGAGGCATCAATGTGAATGAACAGAGTACATTAGCGTCCTTATTTTAGCCGCAGAGCACTCTTTAGGGATCAAAGCCATCGTGATCCAGGCCTCTGCAGGGCTGTCACACACCAACCACCACCTCTGTTTCATGTCAATCTCTTCGCTTGGCCTTCTTCCCACCCCGGAGGGGGCAAACGGGTCGGTGATATCACTCATTGTGAAAGCTAATTGCACAGCTGCAAGGACTGGGCTCGATCTGACAGCTGCCCCTGTGACTCACCGGAGAGGCCTTTCATCACACTGCCGCAAAAGGAACGGGCGTGTTTATCTATAAGAGAGCAAGATGCTAAGTGTCCGCATGCATGTAAGTGGATCAGGATCGAGAACGTGAACGAAAGTCAATCTTGCTGCCCATCCTAACCACTCAGAAGGAAATATTTGTAAGAAAAAAAAAAAAATATATATACTCATGTAAGCAGTCAGAGTATTTTCCTCGTTCGGGTTTCTTTGGATAAATGCTACTAACAGGATCACTATTGTATTAAATACAGAGTATTCATTTCAGATTAAATATTTATGCAGTATTACATTAATGTATAACATGTATTTTAATCGTAACTAAACCCCACACGGCCAATTTACAATTAATAGCAGGGATAACATTTTTAAACTGGCAATCTTGTAATAATCCCTCACAAACGACACAGCCTTTTAATTATTGTATTAATGCAACGGGTGACAACATATTTAAATAACCAAGCAGGAATATTGCACCAGGTGGATTAGTTTCTGTCTTTTAACAGCATGACAGAGAGACGAGAGAGGGAGGGCGATGGAGAGAAGCAGACGCCAGCAGCTTTAGTCAGAGCTGCTGAGGTCTTTGTCTCGAGCTGATTGAAAACACTGTTTGCTCTGTCGTCAATGGTAACAGTCCGTGGTTAAATTATCCCCCAGCCCCGGTGTGAGTCAGACAGAGAACATTTTGCTGATGATATTTAAACAATGAAAAAGCTTTGCAGTTGTTACATGAACACCTTCAATATATCACATTTTTTTTAGGATTTCATAATTTTCACCACAGGATGAGAACATTCTGGTCTAATCTTTATTCATCAAAGCAGGAGGAGCTGCTGGTCACCCACAGATCTCCTTGGCCCTCAAACCTTCTCCTCGATAGGTTGTTGTCTGAGCTGTTTACCAAAACCGTTCCCCTCAGTCTGCATGGGACGTTTTAGTTGCATCTCCTGTGTTGGGCCTTCTTCTGAGAGACGCCTCGGACAGTTGTTGGCTTGTCTGAGCAAATCAAACACTCTCACACACATTGGGAGAGAGAGAGAGAGAGAGAGAGAGAGAGAGAGAGAGAGAGAGAGAGAGAGACAGAGACAGAGTGTGTGTTTCCACTCTTTCTAGCCAACTTTTCCATGAGGTATGATTCCTGCCACTCTTGGGGGAAAGAAACGTTAGCAACAGACCTCCTTCTTATTGAGGGGAGCACACACACACTCAGTCTCATTATTCCCCTGGCACCTGTCAGTAAACACACACACACACACACGGTGCCGACTTTTCCACTGCTGGTAGGTGGGAGGAGAGTGGAAGGTAACGCAGGGACACTAATGGACTTATCATCTTCTGCCTCAAGCCCCTTATTTGTAATCAGGCAGGGAAACACAAACAGGGTTTGCTGATGTTATCACGTTTCAAGGTTCAAAAGCGGACTAAGTGTTAGTGATTTAACTTTAGTGGTGTACGGATCTGATGTGGTCCTGGATCGTGTTGCAGCTTCTCTGTTCTGTGTGACCTCAGCTGTTCCCATGATGCCTTTGCCTGACATCAGACCAGGTTGTCAACTCGTAGCACTTGAACTCGGTGGAGTGGGCGGATTCAAAGGTGTGGACCCAGGCGAAGGATGCCTAGCACCGCTGTTTTTCCATAGGCTGCAGACGCTTCCTGTTCAGGCGTCAGAACTTCTCATGAAAAGTGTTCCCAGTTTGGCTTCATGGGGGAAAAAAACAAAAAAGTGTGTCTGCATTGCTGTGTGTGAGGGTGGGTGTACACGTGTCAGCATGAATACTTATACTCATATGTATGTGTATTTACACACAGAGGTTGTCTTACCTACTGTAAGGGCTGTTTACTCCAGGAACACAGGAGATGCACTTATATATATATACATATACATATATATGTAATGTAAGCTCAACACCCTGGCTTTCAGTTTAAGCCCACCAGCCGAACTCTCCGCAGTAAACAACTTTTCCCGGAGACGTGTGAGGTCACCTGAACAGCTTCTTAGTCAGCTATTCAATATTCCTTTAGGACACATGTTTACTGTGCGTGGGTTTATCTTTAAATCTTCAACGAGTTCTGGTCACATTTCAGGACTTTGCATATTTGTGCTATCCGGTTTTGTTTGTCATATCTCTATGGTAAAGTTTTGGGGCGGAGTTATATGCTTATGCGTTCAGAAATGTCTCTCGATAATGTTCTTACTGCAGCTCAGCCCCACTCTGCTCTTTGTGCACGGCTGCAAAGCAGGTGCAGTTTATATTTTAGTGGTTTAATTGTCGTACACTCACGTCGGTGTACTGTGAGAGACGTCAGCTGTTTATCCAGCTAAACTTCACCACCCACCAGAGACAACATGAGCAGGTGGTTGCCATGGCCACAGAGCGCTGTGTTTATCTGTTGCCGTGCAGGAGAGGAGGGGTGTGTGTGCGTGTGTGTGTGGGGGGGGGATGGGGGGCGGTAGATAGAATCCAGAGAGAGGCAAAGGCCAGCCAAAAATAAACCCATACAGAGCAGGTCGAGCCCACACCATACACGGCACCAGATAAACAGGCAATGCCCATTTTATGGTCGGATCGTATGGCCATACCTAAACTGCCCAGGGAGATGTGCCGATCACGTGATCTGACAGGTGTTTGTCTTTGATATCAACATTGAAAACCAATTTTTACTTTAAATATTGCAAGTTAGTGCTGACATAACTCTACAAAACCCACCTTATCGAGTCCAGTATGAGTTTTCAAACCTTTAGTCTGCTTGAAAACATTGATATTGGCAGTGATAAATCAACACATGTCCCAATATACCTCTTCAAACTCCCAAATATCCCCCCCCCTCATGTGTTGCTCTCTGCTGTCAGTCGGCCCTGCTGTTTCTGCGGGACAGTCAGTCTGGATGTGGCAACAGGCTGACCTCGTCTCTCCACCGGGTCAGTAGATATTGGACAAAACTGAGCAGGAGACATGTTTTATTTTTCTCAAATCCAACACGAACACGTCAAACCAAATTTGCTTTTAGCTTTGAGCTAATATTCAGATTGTGAACCTTTATGTATAGAAAACGATGAGCCCAGTTTCAGACAACCTATCAAGGCCAAGATATACGGTGAAGACACAGATATCAAAGGATGCTCTTTTTTGTTGTAAATGTAATAAAAAAAGAATTGAGGCATTGTGACTTACTCTCACACATCTTATGCTTGTATAAAGAGAAGCAGTGAGGTGGCACCGAGGTGCAGCAGGGTGAGATCTTTAATCCCTCTAGGGGCCACCGACATGCTGTTAAGATGCTAACATAGTTAGCATGGTGCTACTTCTCCTTGTGTGGATGTCTGGTAACATGGGCATATCGTTTCTGCAGCACTGATTGATTGGCAGCAGGTCAGCAGTAACTCTCTGTACACTGTGTGGTAAAGAAAAAGACTGGGAGGGAAGTGTAAGTGGACACCACAGATGGTATGGCCCTACTTCTGGGTTTGCACATACAGTTACTTTGTGTGAAACTGCCACCCTGCCGTGCTGTGTACGTTTTACGGCTAAACTGAAACTGTGCAAACCAACCAAGTCTTTCCAGTGAAGCGAAAGCGGCATCATACATTATAGAACATATAGATATAGCACATCTATAATTTAAAGATAATCCATGTCTTTTTCTAATATAAAATGTGTTTGCTGTGAGATTTGATTGGAAATCAAGATGTTAAGTCACAACATTGAAAGTGTGTGAGTTCAGAATTTATAGAGAAATGATAGCAAAGTGGCAGGAAATACTCCTGTGGTTACAGATGCAACAGCCAGTTAGCGTTAGTTTCAATATGACTGTGGAGTTGCAGGTTATTTATTTGAATCCCCATAGTTTTATAGTTATTTCAGGGATGTGGTATACAGCACCTGTGACTACACCTGACTATGTTATTATATTAAGACTTGGAAGTATAGAACAACTGGCTACAGCCATGTTGGCACTTGATTGCTGGCCTGTGATTGACACCACTAGATGGCACTCTACACAAGCTACAAGCAGTAAAATGTGTGCAGTGACTGTATAGATGACTTGAGTCTGTGAAGCGTCACGCTCGTATTTACAATTTAATTTCTCACCCAAAGGCCATTAACTTCACTTTCTCAAGCTGATCATTTTCACATGGCATATTAAAGGAAATGCCATAATTTACACGAATCATACAATACAATCAGTGTGGCACCATGTCTGATAATATTGTAGTAAATGTAAATTTGAAAATTATTCAATTGACACATTGTGATTCCTTAATGTAATGCTTCATTGGCTAATAGTCTTCTGTTTTTCGACTATTTGTCTCACTCAGGACCAAGTGAAGCCACCGAAGACGTCCAAATCCCAGGCTGCAGAGACGGTGGTTAAAGGCCAAGTCGTGGAGGGCCTTGAGCAGATACCCGAGGGACAAGAGGGACTCCCAGATAATCTCAACTCAGATGAGGAGGTGGAGATCGAGGAGATCATCGAGGAGTCTCGTACCAAGCGCATCCAGCGCACCACCAAGCAGCAAGTGGACAACATAAAGAAAGCCTTCTCCAAAGAGAAAATGGAGAAGACCAAGTTGAAGACAAAGGAGAACTTGGAGAAGACCAAGCAGAGAACCCGCGACAACCTGGAGAAGACGAGACAGAGAACCCGCGACAACCTGGAGAAGACCAAGCACAGCCTGGAGAAGAAGATGGGCAAGCTCGGGACCCGCATGACCCCCAACATGGAGCGCAAGGCCAAGATGAAGAGCTCCAAAGACAAGGCGAAGAAATCCCTCACTCCCGACCACACCGTCTACGCTCGCTCCAAGACCAGCGTGTACCGCGTGCCCCCCTTCACCTTCCACGTGAAGAAGATCCGAGAAGGGGAGGAGGAGGTGGTGGTGCTGCAGAACACGGAGATGGTGGAGGTGGCCGAGGGCGAAGACGAGGACCAGCCAGGCGGAGAGAACGGTCTGGGGGTGCACGCGGAGGTGGAAGAAGGGGAGCTGGTGAGGGTAGACAGCCCAGAGATGGATGCTCTGTTGGAGGTGACTGAGGACTCTCGGCTGGTCGGGCCAGAGCACCTAAAGAAGGTCCAGAGCGACTAGAGGGACGTCGCTCTGCAGGGCTGCGAAGGGAGCGACGAGAGGGCAACGAAGTCGAGTCACAAGGTCACAATATTAGTCGTCGGGAACTTTCTAGACGTGTTCACAGTCTATGACATCACGTTTTGTTTTCTGTTCTCTTTTTACTGAACCCAACAGGGATGACTTTCATATCTGCTCCATTAAGCATACAAATAAGAAAAAAACAACTCTAGGTTTTGAAACATGCTGCACGCTGACTGGTTACGTTTAGGCTATTTGCAGTTTGCCGTTGGTTTGATCAATTGTGTGGCTATAAGAATTTAAAAAATGGTATAAATAGTCTTTGCTATTGAGGATGTAATGTATAATCTAATATTTGCCATGTATGATATGCACATTAGTGGGTATGGTGACGGGAAATTGTTGGTTTTAGTAACGTAATGTGCACGAGTGAAACACAGTAAATAAACATATAGGCAAGTGGTAGGCCTGTAGAAGAAGTAGAGATCTATGGCATAAAGGTTATTTACTGCCAATCACTCAGCCATTGCGACAAATGTATCAATATAATGTAAATGACTGAAAATAGAAGCGTAGTGTCTGATAAATTATGTTGGGAACATCAAAAACACTCACAGATAGCAGAGCAATAAACAGCTAACGTTACTGTTGTGAACAATTGCTTTAAGACGTAATGTTTTACTTTTTGTGCTTTGATTATAAAAGACGCAGGATTATGAAACCTCCAAACTATTCTGGATCACTCAGTAGAACATCAGCTATATACTGTATTATTATGAAATACTCAAAGCTGACATCAATGAGATTTAGAATGTAGCCTTTTGTATCTTTCACAACGAGTGCTTGAAAACGTGCTCGATCATCATTTTACTGTAATGTTTTGATGTGTGCTCACCATGCTTTGTGTCGCATCTGGACATGCTGTACTCACCAACCTCCACAGAGGAGAAGAAATCCAACCCTGTCACCATGGTCACAGCCCATCGCAGTACATTTGCACATCTCTTAATTTTTCACAAAGGTAACGCCAGACGGACAAATGATGGTTTGAAGAGCGAGATGACAGTTTAATGGCTGACTACATAACAAGAGGAGATGAGCAAATGTCATCCTGAATGCAGTCTTTGTGAGAGACGGCACACAGTCAAGTGTTATGAATGGCATGGCACTTTAATAAATGTTAAAACATTTAACACAAACCGTACGTTTTTTTTTTTTGCAGAGGTGCAATCTTGTGTACTTCCTCTGATTTAAGAAAGGAACGTCCACACGGATGAAAAGAGCTGTCTGACCATCATTGTAAGTGAGAGAATGAGGCGATTGTGGAGAATTGGAGGAAGCTACAATAATTGGATTGTAATTACTCTGAACCTCAAAGTAAACTGGTAATGCCATGTGTTCAATAATTGCCACCTTTGGTGAGGAAAGCACACAGGGCTCCAGAAAAGGATGTTGCAGAGACTGTGTGTGAGCTTGATGTGGTGCAGGCACGCAGGAGCCCACTGTGTAGCATGGAGAACCATTAAAATAATCAATGGGCGGGGGAATGCAATTAAGGAGAATGCTCCCTCAGAGCGCCGGGCAGGATAGAGAACAGTGAGGAGAACTGACAAAAGGTGTGTGTTTGTGCGTGTGTGTGTGTGTGTGTGTGTGTGTGTGTGTGTCATAGTGAAGAGTAAGTATGTGCATACCATATAACCACACTTATATCTCCAAGTTTATGTCGGCATCCCATGAAAATTTCCACGAAGCAAATAAATCAATTACAGGCCTGTAACATCACATAATGATTGTAATATTATGTAGTGAATAATTATATAATTTTAGTATTTTTTTGATAAAAACATTCGCATTGTTTTGCACACCAAACATCATAAGACTTGTAAGATATTGGTCCCGTTGGAAAAAAGAAAGAAGTGTGTTTTTGCCACCATGTTTGTTTTGCCTTGTCTTGACCTACTGGTTATTAAAAATACATAGCATACAATTTATGCTATAAGCTGAGGTAGTCTAGTTTATACAGACATTGTCATTTAATTAGAAAGAATGCTGCAAGACTGTGAGAAATAATTGCTCTTTGTGTTATTGATTCATACTCAAATAATGAAGCTTGCCTTATATTTTGTGTCTGAGGCCTCTTTTGCCACTTCAATATTAATAAAAGCTTACTGATAATATACATTGCCTATTATTGTGTTTTCTCGAATTTTATAAACATGTAATATACCTGAATATTGTGTGTCACTGTGTGTGTTTTATTCTCTTAGTCCACTGAATTAGGATCAGGAAAGGTCGATACCAATACACAACACCACTGGCGATATTAAACTCTTGATGACGTCGACGCTGCCAGTAACTCAGATGACTTCCAGGCCGGCTGTTCTGTCGAGCTGCGCGTGCTCCCCCTGCTGCAAATGAGCGTGCTGGCCTGCTCTGTGGTCCACGCGCAGGGAGGGTAGGCGGGCAGGAACAGCGCAGTTGCGACAGCAGTAAACACGACGTTCTCAACCAACCTCACCATGAAGCCCCGCCTCTTCTACACATAACCTGCATTCCGATTGGCTACAGTAAAATTACCGTCTCCTATTGGCCGTGAGAGCTGTCAGTCAAGTAGTTGACAGAGTTTGTTTGACTGGGAGCACTGCAGTGGGAGATGGGCTCGGTGAGAAGGTCTTTACGTGTGTTGGAGGAGTGTTTCCCGTGTTGGCAAGAAAACCCAGACAGTTACGATCTCTTTCTGTGCGTTACTTCTCGCTTTTGTGTGTTCAACTTCTACGAAAGTCGTCACTGACTGTCATTGTCAGTGTTTTTGAGTCGAACACCTTTTTTTTTTACGGAGAAACTTTACAAAGGAGTAACAACGAGCTAATAAGTAAGCGACTTCTGCTTTTTGGCATGTTTCTTATATTTCATTACGACAGTTTTGTTACAGCAAGACCACGTTCATGCATCGCTAGCTCTATCAGACAAACTGCTACTGAACTACAACTGCAGCTCTGTGTCTAGGTTGTAAGCTGAGGAAGCCATTATGTGTCCTTGGTGTTACATAAGTTATTAAAGTGTAGGTCCGTTCTATCTGCTGCTAACTCATTTCTGCAAGCTCCTCACCTTATGGAGCTGATAATATATATAATAACCAAGTCTTGGTTGTTTCTAATACGTTTGTTTTAATGGTTTTTAATTAGATTCTGTTCATTATGATTTGATAATGGTCATACGTACGTTATGTTGTCGTCAAACAGGACCGAATAATTGCTGTAATTTGACTGTGATGCTGTTTGGACAAAGAGTCAGATCCAGGTCATTGTTGTGTGTCTGCCTTTAATTGGCACACGCCCATCTCTGTCCCACCTGCAGGCCAACATGTCTGACACCTTGCATTGGAATTCACTTCTTCTATTAATCAAATTAAGATCTCCAAATCTTCCCAGAATCTTAAATATGAAGTTTGTTTCCTGTCTTTTGTGCAGCTGTGGAGTCCTGGTGATACAGTGTGTCAGAGAGGCCACTACACTCCTTGGCTGTCGTCATTGTTCTTAAGAGTCAAAGCATGACTGTTATGAAATGCTTTATGAGTTAACGTAATCATAGTGTTTGTGTTCTCGCCTGTGTTTACAGCGACCATATAACGCTTGCTGGCATGGTCGCTGGTGCCTTTTTGTTTGCTCAAGGAAGTATGTTCCTGGAATATCGGTGACCTAAGAAATAGATAATGGTATCACACGTGTGCTTTTACAGGTAGTGTGCCACACATGTTCTACCGAGGCATTGGACACCTGACATCTGGCAGGCCCGGCACATTGCTGGCAAAGTCTACTTGAATACACACCAGATTGAAATTCAACATTCAGACAGAGATGTTAAGGATGTGGCGTTAAGGCAAAAGCCTTATATAATAGTCAATATTTGTGAAAAATCATCATCAAAGGGTCCCCAAAGGCTGTCATTTCTAATGTCTGTGACCCAGACAACATGTTTCAGTCATTTGACCAATATGTTCAGACTTCGTGGACCCATTAAGACCGTACCACCCAAAATAACTTTTCTATAAACTAGTTGCTTCTAAACATTGTTTGAAATCATTGTTTCAGAACGATGGAACAGTATTGAGCCACTTCTGAGACACTTCTAAACAGAGGCTCGTGGATAGTCTCACAGAGGGACAGTTTGGAAACTGTTTTGTAATTTCAACCCAAATAATTCACCAACAATAGAAAGCAGGAAACTCAAATTCACGTGATGAAAAATGAAACTAATCCTCTCGCATTAGTCAATGAAGTGAGAGCTCTTTGATGTGATCCTCTCAGAGGAACCTAGGTCATATAAAAACTATCACGCTCGATGGACACTTTTGGTTTTGTCCCATACATGCTTAAAAACAACCCCTCACCCTCATAATGTTGAGAATAATTGTCATAACTGAAATCTTGTGGCTTCCTCGGGCCACTGACACGGTTTAGTTGAAGCATAGCATCTATGTTTTTGTTTCGGTTTCAAACTAAAAAACCTTACACTTACCAGTTCGTTAGATATTTAGTTGTTGAGGCTGTGGTTAGCAGTGGTTCTATATCGGGTCATACAATACTTCAAGGACTTTCTAATACTCTTCCCCCTTGTGTATATAAATGGCGGTGGGATAAACATTAAGAACAAGGGTGAGTGATGCAGAAACATGGACAGATGTTGAACGCAGCTACAGCCACTTGTTTAAACTGTACAGCGCTATCTTTGTGTCAGCGAGAGCAATATCTTAGCTCCTGGAAACTGAAAGCAGAATCTAATCTCTTGGAGAGAACATGTCTTAGTCATCAGTTAACAAAAGTTAAACTTCTGTTTTTGTATCTCAAAGTATTGTACAACTAACAGACGAGTCAAACTTTGGAGGGAGGCCTAATTCAACAGTATGTAATAAGGTGTAGCCGGCTGTTAGGTAAGATGTGAAGGCTAACCCCATAAAGTAGCTCTTCCACTGAACACAGTCGGGGGGGCAAAGGTCATGTGTTGTTATCTGCTTTAGGGAGTTGACAGATGTGCACGTTGGCCAACGTTTCTCGGTGGAGGCGCAGCATTCCACTGAACAGGAAGTGACTGTTCTGAACATTTGTTCTCATCATTTATTTTACAGAGGAATCCGGACATTTAGCTATTTCTCTGTGGCCGGTGATAAGACGTGTGTGTGTGACACACACAACAAAAATGTACTCATATTTGTGTGTGTGTGCAGGTTTTAGGAGGTGTACGTCAGGATGGCCCAGTGGAACCAGTTGCAGCAGCTGGAGACCAGGTACCTGGAGCAGCTCTACCACCTGTACAGCGACAGCTTCCCCATGGAGCTCCGGCAGTTCCTCGCCCCCTGGATCGAGAGTCAGGACTGGTGAGACGCACTCCCTGGGCTCTGTTATGAAAGCACATTTTGTCACTTATGTCTGCGAACACAATGGTGGCATTGCATTCCTTTTCATCGCCCAGAAAAGAAATAAGACACATTTCCCCCTTTTGTACTCTTCCTCATGTGGAGTGCAGTACATTTAGATGGCATTTAAATAGCATTTGTGAAGCTGTGGTTTCACCTCTTAGAAGGAACTAGACGTCCTTATTACCCTGATTATCCCCTCCTCTCCTTTTTTATAAGGGCTTACGCCGCCAATAAGGAGTCGCACGCCACGCTGGTGTTCCACAACCTCTTGGGGGAAATAGACCAGCAGTATAGCCGGTTCCTCCAGGAGAGCAACGTTCTCTACCAGCACAACCTGCGCAGGATCAAGCAGCACCTGCAGAGCAAGTACCTGGAGAAGCCGATGGACATCGCTCGCATCGTGGCCCGCTGTCTGTGGGAGGAGCAGAGGCTGCTGCAGACCGCCACCACTGCTGTACAGGTAGAGAGGAGCGACGCTAGAACCTGGCGGTCGTATAATGTAAAAAGAGCTTCAGTACACAGATTTTTAGGTGCTACAGCCATGAGAAGTGTTGGTTTCATTCTCTTGCAGGACGGCCAGGCTGCACATCCCACCGGGACGGTAGTGACGGAGAAGCAGCAGATTCTGGAGCACAACCTCCAAGACATCAGGAAGCGGGTGCAGGTCAGTTCCCGTCACAGTATTTGAATACAGCACAAAAGAATCCATAACACTATTTAATTTGACTAAATGAGTCTGTGTCCTCTCATAAATGTATTTGTTTTTCTTCAGGATATGGAACAGAAGATGAAAATGCTTGAGAACTTGCAGGATGACTTTGACTTCAATTACAAGACATTGAAAAGCCAAGGAGGTATATTCTAATTCACATTTATTTTCTTAGCTTGTAGCAGCTAGTAGCTGTTGATTTAGTTGCGTGCTGACCGATGACACGTCCACCCTTCTGTGCAGAGTTGTCCCAGGACCTGAACGGGAACAACCAAGCAGCTGCTACCAGACAGAAGATGGCTCAGCTCGAGCAGATGCTGAGCGCCCTGGACCAGCTGAGGAGGGTGAGGAGTGTTTATGCTTTACGACAAAAAGAAATGCAAAGGACAGTCGTCCATGCTGCATCTTACATGCTAGGCCACCAGTTTTTACTTTATGTGAACTTTTCTGGATTTGCTTTATGGGGCCAAAACTGGAGGAGGGGTCTTAGTGTGACACCAATCATATCTTAAAAGAGGAGTTGCATTATCTTTGCAAAGGGAGACAGTGGGTTTTATGGGAAATAAAGCGTTATTCATTATGTATTTGTTAATAACTTCATTATGGGTACTTTATGCTGTGCTTTTTTTTTTTTTTTTTGTAGCAAATTGTGACCGAGATGGGAGGCTTGCTGACCGCCATGGATTACGTGCAGAAGAACCTGACCGATGAGGAGCTAGCGGACTGGAAGAGGAGGCAGCAGATTGCCTGTATTGGAGGTCCACCCAACATCTGCCTGGACCGCCTCGAGACATGGTAACCAGAGAGGCTCATTTCAAATCGATAGAAAAGTATTTTGATAGACTCTGGACCCGCATCGTCGAGTCAGTTTGACAAACCAGAGTCCTGTTTCATCAAGTTGTCTTAACTTGAACCGGGTCTGATTTTTCTTTTTCTAACCCAGGATCACATCCCTGGCTGAGTCCCAGCTCCAGATCCGCCAGCAGATCAAGAAGCTGGAGGAGCTTCAGCAGAAGGTGTCCTACAAAGGAGACCCCATCATCCAGCACCGGCCCGCCCTGGAGGAGAAGATCGTGGACTTGTTCAGAAACCTGATGAAGAGGTGCTGCACGCGACACGTATTTACTGTTCTTATTACGATCACAAGAGTGTTGATTGTTGACCTTAAGGAGCAATCTGTGGTGGAGAGATTTTGAGGCTCCCTCTTACTAACAATACGGAGCTTTCAGTCGCATCACACGGCCTTCGTTTTAACAAATGTGATGACATCCGAGCCGTCTCCATTCTTCGTAGGAAGACCGTGAGGTGCACTTAAAAGCTGCGAATCATTAGGCCTTCAGATTGTCTTCACCATATGTTGTTGTGATGTCTGCCGGACTCTGAAACGTGACCCACTCTCGTCTTCTAGTTCATTCGTGGTCGAGCGACAGCCTTGTATGCCCATGCATCCAGACAGACCTCTGGTCATAAAGACAGGAGTGCAGTTCACGAATAAAGTGAGGTAAGATGCAGGCCTGCAGGACACAACGTACACGTTTCTATGCTTTGTATTATGTGTCCCATGTGACTGAGAGTGCAGCATTTTATATCCTAATCATCTTTTCTCTCATTTTCACAGGTTACTGGTAAAGTTTCCTGAACTCAATTACCAGCTGAAAATTAAAGTTTGCATTGACAAGTGAGTTTTTTTTTTTTATCTGGAGCTTCTAACATTTACATTATGAGAAACTGCTTTACTGATTTGAATTTATTTTTTTTAGGGAATCTGGAGATGTGGCTGCAATTCGAGGGTACGACTTTAAGACCGACGCTTTAAGACCACGTTTGATGTTATTTTTTATTTTTTTTTAAAAGAGCCTCACTTCATGGTGCAACTTGATTTTCTCAGGTCACGGAAGTTCAACATCCTTGGAACCAACACGAAAGTTATGAACATGGAAGAGTCCAACAATGGCAGCCTGTCAGCCGAGTTTAAACACTTGGTGAGTAATAGAGCTGATGGAGCGCACTGCTCGACAGTGAAGGTATCTGATAAACGCCTGCTGTGGATCACTGACTTCCTGTTTTGTTACAGACCCTGAGAGAACAGAGGTGTGGTAACGGTGGCCGGACCAACAGCGACGTGAGTACTGTCTGTGTGTGTGTGCAATAGAGAGTCATTTAAAGTGGCAATCCTTAAGATTTGACACCATATTTACTGGTGGAAACAACAGATGGGGTTTAATAACAGAATACTGGGGGCAGCTTTGATAATGTTCTGTCTTCAGTGGACGTTTGAACGTCTGTTTTTTTTTCTCCAGGCCTCTCTGATTGTCACAGAGGAGCTCCACCTGATCACTTTTGAGACGGAAGTCTACCACCAAGGCCTGAAGATCGATCTGGAGGTCAGTATCAGTGTCTCTGTGAACTCGGAGACATTTCCGTATCCTCAGTTAAACTTTCATCGCACACCAGAAGTCAACACAACTCTGAAGCACACAACGTAAGATTACAACAGCGTCGTTCTTTGACCAAAGTATGTAGAACGAGACACATGAGTCATTAACCGAGTCCTCCACCTCCAGAGGAATGTCACCACCTCTGCCTCTGAATGAGCTGTTACTTAAAGTCAAACCTCCCCCCATCAGTCCACATGTATTGACCCTGTGAGAAAGGCTTTTCCTTCGATCTGCAGACTCGGTCATCATCGTGTATTTTGCTAACTCTCAACGCACCACAGAGCTTCCATGTGACTCTGAGTCAAAACACAACACGCTGTGTGAGCCTCAGAGCGACGGCATCTGCGACATATATCTTCATGGCGAAACCAAGGTCTATAGGTAGTGTGAAGACACGTTATGTGAAGCAGTGAGTGGTTATTCAATTTTATTCTCGTTTCCTGCGACCAAGATGTAAGAAACTGAGCGGGTACTTAAACCCTGGGCCTCGACTGAGTCGTTGGAACACTAGAACATGCATCTTGACCTATCATCATTTCATCTCACCCACAAACTCAACCCACATCTCGGGGTGTGATGCCTGCATTGGTTGCTGGACAAAGGACAACCCCTTTTACACCAAAATGCCTCCTCCTGCTAAGAACAGCAGCACGTCCTCGAGGTGTACGAGTAGTACAGTTGAGAGGACCACCTGAAGAAGTCCTATTACAAGACGACGTGCTGGAATGGAAGCGGGAACATTTTCGCATCGTCGTGCGAGAGTAAATGTCGGCAAGGAATAACCAAACGTGTGATATATATATATATATATATATGTTAATGTTTCCTCCGTTTGTGCAGACCCATTCCCTGCCTGTGGTGGTCATATCGAACATCTGCCAGATGCCCAACGCCTGGGCCTCCATCCTGTGGTACAACATGCTCACCAACCACCCAAAGGTGAGACGGCACCCTCTGCTGGGAAGGGGGCTGAACTCTGCTGGAGGGAGAATGTTCATCTGTTTAGCCGTGTTAAACGCTTGTTGTGTCTTTAAGCCGTGTTGGTCTGCGTGTCTCTCTGTGTACAGAACGTGAACTTCTTCACCAAGCCTCCGGTGGGGACGTGGGACCAGGTGGCCGAGGTCCTGAGCTGGCAATTCTCCTCCACCACCAAGCGAGGCCTGACCATTGAGCAGCTCACCACACTGGCTGAGAAACTACTAGGTGAGGGTGTCGCGCCTTTTAAAGTCTCCAAAAAAAACAGTTCAACCGAACACCGCGTCATGTATTCATGTGTGATGTTATTGTCCGTCCAGGGCCGTGTGTCAACTACTCCGGCTGTCAGATCACCTGGGCCAAGTTCTGTAAGGTACTGACCTTTTAAAAAACAACAACAAACTCCCGGTTCAATCGGCCATCTTGTATTGCTTCAGTGAGACTTATTTTTCTTCTTCCTCTCCAGGAAAACATGGCGGGCAAAGGCTTCTCCTTCTGGGTGTGGCTAGACAACATCATTGACCTGGTGAAGAAGTACATCCTGGCCCTGTGGAATGAAGGGTGAGATGGCCGTCCCTTTATGTTCACGAGTCCCCTGTTTCACATGATGGAGAGCGTTGCTATGTTTAACGTCCGGAATCTTCCTGTTGCTTTGCAGGTACATCATGGGCTTCATCAGCAAAGAGAGGGAGAGGGCCAGTCTGAGTCCAAAACCTCCCGGCACGTTCTTGCTGCGCTTCAGTGAGAGCAGCAAGGAGGGCGGCATCACATTCACATGGGTAGAGAAAGACATAAGTGGTGAGTTAATGTCCTCAGGATTTACTGTATTTTCCGTTTTGGCACTGAGCGTCCTCGTGTTGTTTGTAGGGAAGACCCAGATGCAGTCGGTGGAGCCGTACACCAAGCAGCAGCTCAACAGCATGTCCTTCGCCGACATCATCATGGGCTACAAGATCATGGACGCCACCAACATCCTGGTGTCCCCTCTCGTGTACCTCTACCCCGATATCCCCAAAGATGAAGCTTTCGGGAAGTACTGCCGGCCAGAAGCAGCTCCTGAGCCCGAGATGGGAGGAGACTCCACAAATAGTAAGTCACTGACTCCACCCACAAAATCACCATCTGTCTGTCAATTACTCCCCCTGTGTCTCAAATCTTGAAGAAGACGTTGTTTTTTCTCGCATCCCTCCGCGGCAAACAAAAAACTGAGATGAATGAACGGATGTTTTTTAAAAGTTTAGCTGTTAAACGCGGCCCCGATTCACTTTCACTTCAAGGTAACCTGCAGTGAGTAACTGATATACAGATGGTTCCTTTAAGAGAAGCAACACATACGACTTATTATGTATGTTACGTCTCGCAAGTTTCTTCTGTTGTGTTCAGTATTATTTGTGCTAACGTGTTTCTTTTCCCCGACAGCTATTCAGCCATACTTGAAGACAAAGTTCATCTGCGTTACACCGTAAGTATCTGTCACTCCTCTCTTTTTTTAAATCATCAGTATTTATGGGAAGATCTGGTTCAAAGAAAAGTCAACCAATCAGTTCCTACTCTCACTGTGAGTCATCGCTGTCGTCGGAAGGAACCATCACCCTGTTCTCACACCGAGGAAACAGTTTCACTTTAGACTGACCGCAGCTCACACCTGCTATCGGGTGCTTGATATGCACAACGTGTTGTTGTTGGATATGTGTACTTGTGAGACGGGGAGACGAGGGTTTGAGGGTGTGCTGCTGCTGGGTTGTGAGGTCTGCTCAGTGAGATCATCACCTGTCTCCGTAGGTGTCCCTCCGTGTTCATGGACTTGCCGGACAGTGAGCTGCTGCTTGGGAGCGGATTCCCAGGGTAGGCGCTCGGGGGAGTGGGGGCAGTAGCATGTAGGGAGGGCTTTGTGTGTGTGTGTGTGTGTGTGTGTGTGTGTGTGTGTGCGCGCGCATCTTGTCACTTTTGTCTGTGTGTTGGACGGGTGGGTTCCAGGGATTTCTAGTGCCGTGTCCCCGCCGACATAACTCCTGTTTATTGTTTCCAACTCACCGCCACTTGTCCTGCGTCCTAATACAAGAGCATCTCCCCGCCATTCATCACTTTCTCATTCTGTTCCTCAACCAGATCCATCTATATGAATTCTACAGTCCAACGTATTTTTCATATGATTGCATGAGAAGAATTGATGAGAAGTTCCAGATAGTAGTTTTATTGATGGAAATTAATTCAAAAGTCAGTTTGAATGATCACGGAAGTAAAATAACACACATTGACCGTAGCTGTTGTTAACATCAGTTCAATGTTAAACCGTGTTAGTGTGCTGAGCACCTGCCTGAAATAGAAGCAGGAAACCGTGTGTAACATCTGGCCAGTCTTTCCTGGTTTAATTCACGTATTTCTATATTCATATCTCAATATTTGTGAGTATTTTACCACGGATCCACCCCATTCTCCATCTGCTGTATCGTCTGTTGGGCACGCCTCTGCACACTGACACGAATGCTGAAACTGTTTGTCGATGGTGAGCCTGCTGGACCCTTTCACTCATTAACCACTGCTCTGTGTATCACACTGGGGACGCACCAAAACAGCTGGATGGCATGTCGGCAACAATGCGGCCGATCTATTCCATTCAATTCAATGTCTATGTGCCATATGCATCATATACTGGAATGCAAATTCCTCTTCCAAGTTCTGACGCAATTTGTTGCGGCATTTAAAAGGTTAACACTTGAATTGTGATTCCTTCATTTTGAAGATTTTTATCAAGTTGCTAGTGTACGATTTGAATCCACGTGCAAGTGTGTGTGTGACCATCGGTGAGCCTTTCAGTTTGTGATATACAATTTATCTTCTTTTTTGTTCACTTCTTTTCTCACAGCACAAACTCTGGAAACACCAGTGACCTGTTCCCCATGTCGCCGCGCACCCTCGACTCCCTGATGCACAACGAAGCCGAACCTAATCCAGGACATTTGGGTGAGTCCGTTACACACACACACACACACACACACACACACACGTCGTTGCCGTAGAACTCGATTAATAAGTAACATTAACAGCAACATTGTTCTTGGATTTGCTTTCCGCAGACTCGCTGACGTTGGACATGGATGTAGCATCGCCGATGTGAAGAGGTTTCCCCGACTGTCTTTATTTCCTTCGATGGGATTTGGATATTGTGTCGTGATGGAGGATATTATGATGATTTTTATTTTCTCCCTCTGTCCACATAATCTGCCTCCCTTTCACACTGAATGATTTGAAAAGACGTTCTTTTAAAAGAGCACTTCCACTCGTTTCGGCTCTCACCTGTAGCTCAGTGCGTGGACCGGTTGTATTTGAAGCAGCATCCTGCTCCCATCCAGTACCTCCACATCTGCATAAATGTCTTCAGTACCTTTTTAATTATCTGGAATTATATTTTTTTGAGAAAAGTGTTTTTGACTTTTTACAAATGTTTATGAATTCATGTGGTTTTTGTTTTCTTTGAATAAGAAATGTAACAAGAATACTTGTTGTATAAGCTATGGCGCTTTGTAATTCTACTATTGTCGTGCACTTAATGGTCCGTTTTAAGTCTGTTGTTTTGCATTTCTAACCCCGGCCAAATGGTGTCCCGCAGTAACCCCGGTGTCATTTAAAACGGTTTCTGTTTCATGATAGCGTTCACTCAAATTGGAGTATTTCTTGTATATTTCTCAGAACAATTTGGAGTGTGACAGAACTGTGGAGAGAGGAAACGAAAATGAATTTAAGACACTCTTTCTTTCTTCCCGTTATTTCCTTTTCAGAGACACTTGTTATTGAGATAACCACGGATGCTTAAGAACGACATGTCACTCTGACAGAGTGAACAGAGTAAAGTTTCTGATCCTTCGTACCGTTGAGCGAACCCCCGTCGACATGTTTGTCCGTCATGCCATGAAATGTCGAGAGGATTTCTGTAAAATACGCTCTTAACTATTCTTTATTTGGCAATAAAAACAAGTCAGCACTGAAAGTAGTCGAGTCATCTGTCGGTGTAATTATTGTCTTGTGTGTTTTCTAATGTTTTATGTTTAAACATTTCAACTGTGTGTTATTGGAGGACAGACAATAATTATCTACTGGGACTAAACATTAATAACTTAATAAAGAGTCAGTTTGAAGCACAAAATTCATAATTGAACTGCTTCAGTTTCGGGGTCCTGGTATTGTGCATGCTGGCTCACTGACAAGCTTACCAAACACAGCTGTAGCTATTGTTTATGTTATTAGTAAGTTAAAATCAGCGCTGTGAAAAGGGACTTTTAATATTCAGTCATATTCAACATGTTTCACACTTATGTATGTAATAACCTGCCCAGGGACCACAGATGAAAATCAGCTAATTGAGGCACATTTTACATTGAGGTAAAACATTAAATGTTGATTATTGTGCAGTGTCCCTGGTACTTCAAAACCAATGTGTGTGTGTGTATAGACCAGATACCAGATCAGAAGTTGCTGGATGAGAGACCTCACTGCCTCTGATTCTGAGAACTGGACGAGAAGTGACGAGCCGAAGTTTTTCACGTCAGTTCTCACACAATCAAACAAAGAGACGTCAGATCGCTCTTCTGCTCAAGCCGGAGGAAGTCTAAAACAGGTTTTATTGGAGTGAACTTCATTCTGAAGGTAAAATAAGGGCAGACAATGTGATGTTCCAGGAACTGGCTGAGGACCAGTATCAGGAAAGAGCTCATGATTGGAAATGCACTGAAATGCAGAAGTGTAGAGGAGGGAAATCAGGTGATTAACAGGAAGGAAGGAGGAAGTCCAACTAATAAAGCAATACGCGATAAATAACGCTGAAAGCAATAAACATTTGATCTTTACGAGGCCCCTGTTGGTCTGGCGCTGCCTGCTGCAGAGGAATAGAGCTGAGGTGTAATGCAGGACACACAGCCGCAATATTGACTTCATATGATGATCCGGGACATTTTGACATGGAAACTGTGGGAATAGTGCATTTGGGGCTCCTTTCATGTGCAGAGTCAACTCGGAGATCCCATTTTATTATTATTGTGTGTGCAAATAGCAATCCAACGGCACATAAAATCAACCCCCGTGTTCTGTTTTTACCGGTATTTCTTCAAAGTTGATGACAAAGAGTGGTAACCCGAGAGGAAACACAAATGATCTACTGTTGTAACAGCAGGTGAAACACAGGAGGTATCATATCGCTGCTTTGATTTGAAATAATCACTTTTGTGAAAGCAGGTGGTGTGCTTTTTTTGTACCGTGTAGATGCTGGGATTTGAATGTTAGGCTACTAAGATGTGACCTCGTTACACTTCCTTTTTTTTTCCATTTCCAACAAGCGGTGTCTCTCAACACGAGATCCCTGGACTTCCCTGACTGGAAACCACATATTGCGTGTGCAGCTCATATCCAGCTCACATCGTGGCGCTGATGTGACTGCCGGGATTCCCACGAGACCTTTGAAGAGTGTGACAGCTGAGATCAGGCGGCTAGACAAACAGAGACAGTGAAGGAAGCTGTTTCTGTATCACTGGACTCTCTCTCTTTCTCTCTCTCTCTCTCTCTCTCTCTCTCTCTCTCTCTCTCTCTCTCTCCTTCCCCTTCCCCTTGCTTGTCTCGGTGGTAGGAAATGAACACAGGAGAGGACGAGAGGGGTGTGGAGATGTGCAGCTATTACTGTCAGCAGCTGCTGACTCAGCTGTCTGAGGAAGCAGCTGTCACCCTTCAGTTCTGGCCTGCAGCCAATCAATCTGGAGGATTGATGAGGCTTCAACAGGGTGCAGTCGGGTGATTGGCTTGTGCAGTTGTGTGTGTGTGTGTGTGTGTGTGTGCGTGCGAGAGAGACTTCTGATTTGATGACTTTTTGACATGTGGGGAAATGAAGTCACAGAACAGTTATGTCAGTATTTCTGCAGGATTTTCAGATTAGTTACAGTCAGCCTGTCAGCAAAGAGTTTACTGTTCTCAAGACAAGGGAGATACATATAAATGAACATGTGCCATATAAACGATACCGCCTGTTCGGCCCCTGTGAATGCTTTTACATTGGGCCGACTAATGGAGGCCATTGAGTTTGTGGAGCAGTCCACGATAGGTGGTGTTCCCCCTTAAATGGAGAAATGACCCTACAGTCAGGAAAACCACTGCTTATTAAAGTAGTACACCTGCGTACAACTCGGAGGCACTCATACTTATATTTACTCATATACCTGACAGATTACTTGTTACTTTGTATCAGAACATGCTGCATGATAAACACATTACAGTGAGTTCCAGTTTCAGCATTATTATGGAAGCGCCTTTAGAATTAGCAACACATGGATCATGTAATACATTAAACACCGCTTCAACATTAATCTAACAATAACTTTATTCTATTTTTATGTATTATTCAATTTGATCTCTTTGAGTTAAAATCAAATCTTCAGGCAGCGATATGCTCTTATCTGCTGGGATTTTGCCACAGGCACACCTTGTTCTTAATTCATCTCTCTCTCTCTCTCTCTCTCTCTCTCTCTCTCTCTCTCTCTCTCTGTTCAAATAAAATGCGTTTGGTACCAGAAGGCGTCGCTGTTCTCCAGACGGAGGGCGACAGATTTGGGTGTACTGTACAGTAGATTAGACTTAATCTAATCAACCGGTCTGCTCATAACTGCTCTGATCCCGGCGGGTCAGAGAAAAGTGAGTCTGAGTTTAATGACGTGCACCACTGACAGGAGCCACTGTCTCTCTCAACTCGTTGATCGGCAATTAATATATGTATGACTCTATATTAGTATTATTGTTGTTGTTGTTGTTGTTATTATAGTGATTTCGCTTTATTCTTTATTTTTTAATGAATTTATCTATGAATGTTAGTAGTGGGTCATTTGTATTGTTTTGCACAAAATAGTCCTTAAAAAATCAAAACAAAGAGTCCTTAAAATTCAGAACATTGTGCATAATTTATTGGGCGTGTAACACGATGTGCACATAAATATGCAATAACAATAATCAGATAGATGTGAGATTAAATATAACAATAACGCATGAAGTTTGAGCAGACAACAAGAAATCATGATGGATCTGTGTCCATTGTTATTTGTCCTTTAGCCTAAAATCAGTCATCAGCGGGACATAAATCTACAGAAACGGTTTCTAACTCACACGTTCAACAGCCGCCGGAAGTGGGCGGTTTGACAGAGAGAGAGAGAGAGAGAGAGAGAGAGAGAGAGAGAGAGAGCGTGTGTGTCAGGCGAACTGTTGGAAACTACGCGACTGACTGACGGACTGAGAGATTCCTGCTGAAGGTTGTACACGTCGATGCGGCCGCTCTTCCTCGCGTTTTATGCAAAAGGACAGCGAGGTCTCCCCGTCGCTCCACGGAGAGGTGAGTGGGACAGTTTGGTGTCTTTTTTTTGAAACGCGTTTTTCGTCCTGAAGGGGCTCGGACGTCCCCGTGTCTCGTCCCGCGGACCACCGCAGGTTGCGAAACGATATTGTGACAGCGCTTTGTAAACAAACCCAGGGGGCGCGTGCACACGCGCAAAGCAGTGGACGTATAGGAGCACACTTTTATTCTACTCTTCTTCTTCTTTTGGTTTTATCAGCGCCGCTGAATCAACAGGCAGGTCCCCGTTATGTTCCTACACGGCGGGCTGACTGCAATGAGTTTACACCTCGCTGCATTGTGGATAAATAGCACTGACATTAGTGGTGTCTTTATACACATGAAGTAGTTTTCTCTTTTAGGGGCGAGAGTCCAACGTAACCTCCGCGACGCATTAAATCCCCTCTCGCCACAACACCGTCTCCGACTGAAAAACGTCCCCGCACAGATACACTGCACTCTCAATTACGTTTTCGAAGGGGAAACGTGTTTTATTCCGGTTTTAAACCGTTTCAAACACGTGGTATACCCAACAAAAAACAACAACAACAACAAAACACTGCAACTTTGTTTAGGTTTAAGCGACAAAACCGGTTTAGTAAAAAAAATAAAAAATAAACACTACAGTTTGGCTTAAAATGACTGCGACATCGAAACAAAAAACGCAACAGAAGTTCTTGTTTAGGTTTAAGGCGACAAAAATACTGCGTCCACCCGGTGCACGAGCAGCCGTCTCGTGAGTGGAAGGCCTGTCCAGCCACCACCCAGTTCTCGTCCCCGTCCCTACGTGTGCACTTCCGCTCACTCATTTAAAAGTTATTTGTGATAAAAAAAAAAAAAACACGTTTTAATTCACAGACTACCGTTTCATTGTAGAGAGGCACGTGAAATAGAACCTTAAAGATAACCTGCGGCAGCACACACACAGGTTCTTCTGACAGGCTGTGACTGCGTTACACTGCGCTCAGGAGGGTCATGGGCTCCAGAAGTTTGACAGGCCGACTGAGAGCTTTCTGCTCGGTCTCTCTGGGCCTGTCGCTATGCGCTGCGCTTATAAGCAAGTAATACAGCAGCTTGGAGCTTCTTTAATTATGAGGATTTCATATTTCAAGAGAGACATCTTGTACTCCGCGACACTTGTCTGACTGATTCCTTCATGCATTATGTCAGGACTTTGGACTGACGTCATAAAAATAGGACCAACGATGACGTACAACACAGTCACTCAGTATTGAATACCATAAATACAGATGCAGTATGGTAATATGGGAGATTTCCAAAAAACAAATAAAAGAAAGGTCACTATTATCACCGCTAGTGCTCCACACACACACACACACACACACACACACACACACACACACACACACACACACACACACACACACAAGTCTTTATATAGTCAATTTATACTCTAACACAGTGGCTTGAGAAGAAGAAGAAATGACCTAGGCCGCTACCAGCTGTGTTCATGTGCACGTTGTCAGGGAAGTTGAATCCTACATTTGAAAGGAGCCGAGTGTTGACAGAACAGGAGTGAGTTGGGTCATTGCGATCAGGTCTGTGCCATTCATCCTATATACTGAGCGTTGCTGTGAAACAGAGGATGCATTGTTGCTCAGCATTGGCTTAATGTTGATGTGTGGTTTTTAAAAAAAAGCATGAAATTATGATTGATGAAGGTTAACCCAAAGCTGACTATTAAATCCAAACCCTGGTGTTTGTGCATGCTCTCTCTTACAAACAGAATTTGAATGTCTCTTGACGCTTTCATATCTGTGTGTGTGTGTGTGTGTGTGTGTAAAACGTGTCCTTGGTTACTTGTGTGCATCCTGATATGCATCCTTTGTCATTATGTTGCGTACTAAATGCTGAGTTGACAAGGTAAGACTTTCTGTGTTTTCCTTTTGGACAACATTTCTGCAGAAACCTACAGTGTAGCATTGACTCGGTTCCCCCGTGGCTCCTAATTGAGGATTATGTGCGTGATAATGCCCTCTGTCCACTGTGATAATGTCCCCCCATCGAGGTCGCTGTGTGAAAACTCTGGATGAGCACAGCAACAGGAGCCGTTAGTTTGCCGACACTCTCCTGTTTGGCCCCGGGGGGGTGTTTTTAACAGTGCTGACGATTTTGATTCCTCATTTTTGAATACTTTTTGTTTGTTTTGGGCGAAGCAATTTCAAGTATAGGGCGGAACAGTTTTTGAAAAAGATATGTAATTGACTGATATCGCAACTGTGATATCAGTCGCGGTATTCGAGAGAATGTTCACTGTACCAAACAAAGATGTTTCCCCAAGTCTGCAGCATAGGATGTGTAGGCCAGGACATCTCTGCAGCGCGACAATATTTCGTTTGAAATTGCATCTCCATATCGCCTTTAACAAGCCGTGTGCCATGCTGCTTGAAAAGTGCAGTAGGTTTGGAAAAAATGAATTACAGGATTCATTGAGATTCATTGTTCATCCCTAATTTCAAGACAAGAGTCAAGACTCGTCTTCTTTGTCAGTTCTCATTTTTTCTTCCCTGTTGCTCTTATCTGAATGTCTGCCCTCTCAATCAATAACGTGTTTCAGTCCAGCTGTGATCTACAGAAACAAAAAAAGAAAATGTCAGTGACTTCTACCATTGAACCGCGTTAGCCTGCGTGCTCCCTCTGCCACCGCGGTGTTTTGGGTCTGCGTGGGAACACGGCATGCTGATCCGGCACATTGTGTCCCCTGACAGAAATACCCAGATGCTGGAGGAGGAGCAGCAGTAGCAGGAGCAGACGGGGGGAACCCACTGTTTTTATTCCACGAGCCCACTTTTCCATGTGCCCCCAGCATGGCATGGTGTCTGTATGCGTCTTACTTTTATAATAATAAGGGGGGGTAGGGAAGGGGCAGCACAGGAGACGTGACATCAGCACTGACATCATGAATAGCTGGAAGTGAGCCGATTACAGCAGTGGTTTTGATCTGACTGAGCCACGAGTCAAAGGTGTCAGAATCACTTATGCCCTAACGAACGTGCTTAGCGTGGGGCCTTTCCTCGGGTCTGAGCGGACGAGGAGACGATGGACACAGGAAAGATGCTTGTGATCCCTTTCTTTGGTGGAAAAAAAATGGTCACGAGAATGATAAACTAACAGGGCGACGAGGGGACTAAGGGGGCAGTGAAAGAGAAAGGGAAACACGGTCTGAAGGGAAGTGATCAGGAAGCATGCGCTGACATGCACACTTGCCTCCTCCCCCTTTCAGTTAGGCTAACGCTAATCCACTGGTCACGTGACCCGTGAGCTCGCTTAGCCCGGTCTAGGCCAGGGACGCTCTGATCCATCTGTCGAATATAGCGCAGCTGATTGTTGGCATCCACAGCGTTGCGCGGCTGTCCCGTGACCGCTGCCTGCTCCACACAAGGCTCAAATGTGATTCCCATCAGCCCCCGCTATACCTCTGCAGGGTCTGATCAGCAGTTTCTCTCTTTATCACTTTCTCTCCTATTATCTTCCAGACACTGAGTGGCGCGATAAGGCCCCCGGGTTATTATCTCAGTGACACAACAAGAAAAGCCAGAACAGTGCTCGAAGGCACGTTTGCACTAAGTCACACCAAGCAAGTCACAAATCAGGGAAAAGAAAGCGTTTACGCTCCAACCCCCAAGGATTGTGTCATGGAGACGTGGGGGTCACCTCAAAGTAGACTTAAGGCTGGTAGTCCGGATTAATCAATTTCTCATTTTTTTTTTTTTTACACAATGCCTAAACCCTTAAACACACAGCAGAAAACAAAAAAATAATGTTGCAACTTTCTGGCCTGGCCCGTAAGCCTGAAATATAAATGACTCAAAATGCTGCCAGAAGTTTAGTGACGTTCACACGTCTTGTTGACTCAAAACCTACATTCAGACGCAGACTTTGTGATTTTAGATCATAGCAAACGACGGTACAAGTCATCCACAGTATCTGTTGGATTGATCCGTGTTGTTTTGTCACGCCTCAGCAGCAGACACACACACACACACACACACACACACACACACACACACACACAGTTGAGCAACGATACTGGAAGGTTATTGTCAGCGTTTGGCAAGTTGCCATTTTACTTTGGATCCCTCAGAACAGTTTGGAAGTGAGAGAAGAGAAGTCTCTTTCCTCTAAAACTACCAGTGTGCTCTCAGAGAGAATCTTAGCGCCAGAGGAGCGCAGTGACCAACCGCACACAAGCGTGTCTGTTGCCCCGGAGCTCTGAAATATCAACGGCAGTAAAATGGCAAATCTTCGGGTTTTTTGCTGCGCATGTGCTTGAGTTAAATCGTTCCATTTAATGAGAGTTTGATGGTTTACTGCAGAGTGGGACTGGGCGATATGGAGCAAATTAAATATCAGCATGTTTTTTGATGATTGATATTGCGACGATATGGCAGGGTTGACCGTTTGTGCTTTTACAAAATATTTAAATATTGAGATTTTTGATTAAAGGATCATAAGTAATGTGGAGAAAACGAGAAAAGCCGATGAAGGCAAATAATACTTATGACAATATCTAGCCTCATATCACATCATTGATATGATATTGATGTTTAGCGCATCTCTACTGTAGAGCATGGGATGTGTTTTTTGGTAAGTTATTGATCTCCTTTTTGTGTTTTATTAATGCATTTGGGCCCTGAGTCATGCTTTATCTCTCTCATGCATGATTTATGTATGAACGAATGGCTTCATCCGTGCCCTAAAGGAGATCGTATCATGTGAAGGCTTGAATATGAAAAAGAGGGAAAGACGCCTTGTTTGTTTAGTATGCAGACCCTAAACAGACACGATTCAAACATTAGTTTTAATATCGTTATCTCGAGATTACAAGATAGTGAATTCGTTATCACGAGAAAAGAAAAGGTTGTTTCTTGTTATTAACTAAAAAGTGTGGGTCAAATCAACCAGTGAATGCATTCAAACGGCCCGTATGGAGCTGTCAGTGATGGACTTGTTGACGTGAGTGGAAGGATACACGTGTGACAATGTCCGGTTTTCAAAATAAGGTGTTAACAAGGGTACATACAAAATACATATATGGAAATAAGATTAAATGGATTCAGAAGATATAACTTCAGATCTGAAAGGAAAAAAAAAATCTTGCTTTTGTGACTGTACTTAGTCAGAGATGACTTTGACTCAAATGTATTCGTCCATGTCAGAAATTATTGATTTAGTTTAAGATCGGAGAATAAAGACATTTCCCTCACAATTCTGTGGTATTTTCTTTTAAATCTGTTCGTGACACGGGTAAAATACAATCCATTTAATCTCATTTCCATATGTGTGTTTTCTTTATACCCATGTAAACAGTTTATTTTGAAAACCAGACGTATCCTTCCACTTACTTCACCAGGTCATCACTGATTTGACCTGAACATTTTAATTAATAAGAGGAAACAAGCTTTTGTTTTCTCGTTCTAGAAAATGAACTATGGATAACAAAGCTTGTTTTCTCAGTTAACGCCATAATTAACTTGTGATCTCGAGATAACTATATCTATCTA